CTTAATTAAAAATTTGGTCCCTTTCACACCTGTCCTTGGTGAAGATCAGCATTTTCTTCCTTTCATCCTCTGGGTTCTGTTTATTGAGTAAATGCTTTTGTTCTAAGAGAATATAAGTTCAAGTCTTTAGAATATAGGTTCAAGCCTTTGTTCTAAGAGAATATAGGTTGAAGGTTCATGATTCCTGCAACATATTTTCAAATGGTTTGGCATAAACAATCAGTATAAAAGTATACACATACAGCAAGGACCTACAGTATAGCACAGGGAACTATACTCAGTATTTTGTAATAACCTATAAGGGAAAAGAATCTGAAAAAGTATATATATATATATATATATATATATATATATATATATCTGAATCAGTGTACTGTATACCTGAAACTAACACGCCATTATAAATCAACTATACTTAAATTAACAATAAATAAATGTATGCACCCACAGGAATAAAGCAAAAGTGGCAAAATGTTATCGTTTTGGTGAATCAAAGTGAAGCATTTATGGGAATTTACTGTTCTACTCTTGCAGATTTACACTTTTTCAAATAGAAAAGTAAAAACAAACAAACAAGCAAACAAACAAAGAAAACCCCTGATATGTGAGGTGGTAGAAAGAAGGAGGTTCTACTATCAAAGTATGAAATCTTAAAATGAGATGGCAATAAAAATTGTTTTGAATTTTTCCTTAAAGAAAATGTGGTGGACATAAGGTTGTAGCGTGAGTCATTAAGAAAGAGTATTTGGATATGATGGAACGCACTATTTACATCTTTGTTAAATGAGGTGGATGATGCTTCTCTCCTCAGGGTGTTTTTCCATCAGTGATGATGCATGATTCCAGATTTAGCCACACAATGTCAGCTGATGCCTCTGGTTACCAAAAAAGAAAAAGAAACAAGGAGAGAGGGGCATAATCAGGACAGTGACAATAAAGGTATGCTTTTTCATAATGATTTAGTCTGAGTTGGCTGATCCATCAGCACTGAGCTCTAAGCTGCTTGGCTAACTAGTCCCAGATTGTGCTGAGAGAAAAAAAATGCTTCCGTGGCACTCAGTGCTTATGAGACCTAATAGTTCATTGTAGTGGATCGTACCTTGGAGACCTCCTTGTTGATTGCTGCTTCGGACTGAGCTGCGTCTTCCCAAAATTCCTATGTCAAAGCCCTTCCCCCCCAATATGATGGTATGTGGAGATGGGGCCTTTGGAAGGTAATCAGGTTTAGGTACGTTCATGAGAGTGGGGCCCTCATGATGGGACTAGTGCCCTTATAATAAGAGACACCAGAGAGCTTACTCTCTTTCTCCCCTCCATGTGAGGACACAGTGACAAAGCAGATAAATTCAAAATAATGTGCAAGTGATAACATATGGCTATAATTATGTAATATTTATTTATTTTGGCTGTGCTGGGTCTTAGTTGCAACACACAGTATCTTCGTTGCGGCATGCAGGATCTTTAGCTGTGGCATGCACACTTCTTAGTTGCAGCATGCAGACTCTTAGTTGCGGCATGCATGCAGGATCTAGTTCCCCGACCAGGGATCAAACCCGGGTCCCCTGCATTGGGAGCACACAGTCTTACCCACTGGACCACCAGGGAAGTCCCGGTTATAATTATTCAGAACATAATATACCTTGCTAATGTGAACTAATGTTCTGTAGACTTCAGTAATAAAAGAAAATTAATTGCACATGTGGGCTCTTTATTTATTTATTTATTTAACATCTTTATCGGAGTATAATTGCTTTACAATGGTGTGTTAGTTTCTGCTTTATAACAAAGTGAAGCAGTTACACATATACATATGTCCCCATAGCTCTTCCCTCTTGCGTTTCCCTCCCTCCCACCCTCCCTATCCCACCCCTCTAGGTGGTCACAAAGCTCCAAGCTGATCTCTCTGTGCTATGCGGCTTCTTCCATGTGGGCTCTTTAAATGACCCCGCATGCCAGGAATGAAGATCCCATGTGCCGCAACTAAGACCCGGTGCAGCCAAATAAGTAAATAAATAAATAAATATTTTTTTAAAAAAAAGTATACGGGAGGATGTGTGTAGGTTATATGTAAATACTACTCTCATTTTTTAAAAAAAGTTAAAACTAAAACTATTACATTACGTGCAGAAGGGGTGACTTGCATAGGATATTACACATGTACGCACGTATATCAGCCAGTACAGAAAGGTAGGAACAGTTTTATCTTTTGAATCTTTTGCTATACTGTATTACCAAGAAGATGGTGATAAATAAAATTACAATATAAACTAAAGTCACGCCACAGTATATTTTAACACTTTCACTTTAGAAAAACATAACACAGTTTGGCTACATAGGAAGAATAACACTGTATGCTAAATCTCATGAGAAGGCTGAATATCTCCATGTTATTCTAAGAATTGTCAATTCTATGCATATTTCTTGTACTAGAGGGGAAAAAAAGGAGTATTAAAGATAACAGCAATAAACATCTTTCAAAAATTTCTAAATGATTTCTTAAGAAAATGATTTTAATTACTATAAGATTCTCAGTTTATGATTGAAGTAGTTTTCATGTTATGTTTTATATTACACTGAACTATGCAACTTATCAGTATATCTTCCAACCCAATTTCAACCTTCCCTACATCTCTGAAGCTGCCATTGAATTGGTCCTGACTCTACCTAATGGATAATGGTCTGAAATGGATGGATAGATTAAGGAATGAGGTCATATATTGTCAACTGGGGGAAAAAACAAAAATCAAAACACAACATAAGAGCTGTGAGTTATGTTTTATTTGGGGCAAAATGAGGACTATAGCCTGGGAGACAGCCTCTCAGATATCTCTGAGGAATGGATCCAAAGAGGTAAGAGGGAAGGTCAGTATACATGTTATTTTAGTGAAGGGGGGTACGTGCAGTCAAGCACACACTTTGATAGGTTACTGCTGGTCACAAGAAGTTTGCTGCTAGTCCAAAGGAGCAGAGGTCTCCATTAATGATTTTAGTGCTTTTCTAGATATGAGAAGATGCAATAATTTGGGCTCATAAAATCTCCTGAAAACTATCTAACTGTCTGAAGTCTTGTTCTGCCAGTTTTTCCCAGAGCACAGAGTGTCTCATTCCTGATCTCCACCCTGAACCCCTTTAGGGTGTGTTGAATGTCAGTGACTACAGTGGCTAGCGACCTAATCCTCGTAGAGGGAGATGGCGAGTGATTATTTTCCATCCATATAAAACTTCCGTTGCATTTTCACTTGCCACACAGAGTAATCAGATGAATTCAGTGGGTTTAGGCATAGATTAAGCAAGAAATTTAAACACCTAATTGAAATAGTCTCTTCTATTTTGTCATACTTTGTCACCGAATTACCCCAATGTTTTGTCCTACTGAAATATACACGTTAATTATATGTATAAATGATATACGTGAGATATAACTCATATTTTATGTCAAGACAAGAAAAATTTAAACAAAAAACTCTTCTGTGCCCTTTGGCCTCCTCTCTTCCCCAACTGCATTGTGCACCTGTATTGTGCATCAACCAAACCTTCCCCACTGGGAGCTGCTCAACCATAAAGACCAGTATTCTCCTAGTATCAGTAAAATGACTCCTGAAAGATAGTATTCCTTCTTGATCTCATAAGGGGTCACATGGTGCTTAGATCTGGATTGTGTAAACTGTCAATTATATGCAATGTATAGTCCTCTGTCTCGAAAAACATATAACTGTGCCTTGACTCCTAACAGGTGGAACAGTTCTCAGAGCTTTCTGAGATGTTCTTCCTGGATTATAATCCTCAAATTTGGCTTGTATAAAATTTTCCATTCCTTTCTTAGATCAATCGATTAATTTTTTGTCAACATATATGTATATATATTATATGTATATGAAAGCTTGAATAGATTTATAACAAATATTTTTAATAAATTTGATTGATATGTCTTTTGCCATATTTGTGGGTACATACTAGTTAATTATTTTATCTTTCCAGAAAATTCAACCTTTTTCATTACAAAGTGACATTCCATGTTTTAGTATGAACTTTTTAGTATTTCGTGTTAAAGTCTATTTTGTTGGATATTAAGAAAGCCACATGGGTTTCTTTTTTTTTTAAATAAGTTTATTTTATTTATTTATTTTTGGCTGCTTGCATCTTTGTTGCTGTGCATGGGCTTTCTCTAGTTGCGGTGAGCGGGGACTAAGTTGCAGTGGGTGGGCTTCTCATTGCGGTGGCTTCTCTTGTTGCATGGCACGGGCTCTGGGCACATGGGCTCAGTAGTTGTGGCACAAAGGCTCTAGAGCTCAAGCTCAGAAGTTGTGGAGCATGGGCTTTGTTGCTCCGCGTCATGGGACCTTCCCGGACCAGGGTTCGAACCCGTGTCCCCTGCATGGGCAGGAGATTCCCAACCACTGCACCACCACGGAAGCCCACATGGGTTTCTTTTTAACTAGTGTTTACATGGTCTTTTTCTTCCTTTTTCTTTCTTTCCTTATATTTAAGTTGGTACATATTTTTAATATAAATAGGGCATTTTAAAATATTTTAAAAATTAAGTTAATATAATTATATAGTTAAATATTACATATTAAATATTATATTTAATGTTTTAATATATTTTTATATAATTTTATGTAAATTTTTAATATTTTAAATTATTTTAATAATCTGAAAAACTTTAATTTAGAACAGTTTAGTTCTTCTAGATTTAAAGTAATTACTAGGGAGTGCTGCTGGCATCTAGTAGACGAAGGCCAGGGATGCTGCTAAATATCTGACTCTAATCAGACAGGGTAGGGAGTCTCCAGAGGAAAAGAACCAGATATAGCTTTCTGACGTAAGAGAGGCCATTTTAGGCCTAAGCCATTTGTGATCTAAGCCTGCCCACAATGGCTGTCCTTGAATAGGTCTCAGTAATAATGACCTTAAGGGTCAAGGGCAAGAGAAGGAACAATAGCAAAGATAATAAATCAGATAATAAAGACTCCCAGGTTTTTTTTCCCCCCAATGGTAAAGATTACATTTTTGAGCTGTTTTGCAGAATTTAAACCCCCTCAGGTGCTCAACCACTAGATCAATTGGAACCAAAGGGATGACGATGTTGACCTTTTCTGACCCTCCTGACTCCAGTCAACTAAAGCGTGGACTCTGTTGACCTTTGCCTGAATTCTATGCTCAATCCTTCTCAGCTCAAGCTCCTTCATGAACATGCAGGTACCCTTAACTTAAATCTTCCTCAATTTTGCTGTTTGGAGAGACCCTGCTTGGGAAGGGTCCCCAGTGTTCTCCTTTCTTGCTGCAAGTAATAAATCCTCCTTCTCCCACTCTTTGGCTTGGTTGTGTCTTTTGGGGGCTCGACACCCACCAAGAGGTGAACCCAGTTTTCAGGTAACACCACCATGCTCAGGACAGCCTCCCAGAGCAAAGAATTATCTGGCCCCAAATGTCAAAAGTGCTGGAGATTGAGAAACTCTGGGTTAGAGAGCATTGGTTGATCCCCAAAACATGGAAAAGCTATGTGACACCAAATACTCATTCCTACTTGATTGATAATATCAAATGACTGGAAAAAAGCATTCATGTCCACCTTTAGAAAAACTATTAAGTCAGTTGTGATGCGGGCCTGTAAGGGAACATTGTACAACCAGTGAACATTATATAAAGGTTAACTTAAAAAATGGAAATGCTAATCATATAATGTTGAGTAGATAAGTCGAATTTGCAGGTGTTAGTGCAGTGCACTCTGATAATAACCATGGGAAAATATGTCTAAGATAAAAATACTGTGAATAAACTCACCAGAATGCTATTATTATTCCTGTGTTAGGGTGGTGAGATCATAGAAGATTTTCAAAAACTATTTTTCTCTATTGAAGATGAGTATATAGATTTTTAGAATAATTTTCCTAAAGATTTACGTCTCTTAAACTTGTTCTTGTCCTCATTTCTCTTTCTAATGTAGGATCTAGATCTATTCCAAACTTGTGGAATTAATTAGATAATTAAGAGGAACCTCAGAACTACGAGGAATGATCAAAGAAGGCATCTGACACATCCTACAAAGAAAAGGAGGATTCCCAAAGATATGAAAGAAAAAAAGGCGTGAAGGTAATTGCGAGGTGATAACATTATTTTATGGGCTTGGAATGAGGAAAGCGTGCTCTGTTTTACATCTAGCTTTGGAGAAGCAAATAGCTCTAAGAAAAGGAATGCCCTGGGTGGGCATAACTGTCCAGCAATGCTGTGAGCAGATTTCCTTGGCTTCTCAGAGTACAAAATGCAGAAATGTGTTGCAGTGGAAAGTTCCGAGACCTGGGTCCTTGCTCTGACTGAAAGAGCTCAGCAGCCTCCCACATATGGCTCCATCTGTCTGAACAGGATTCTAAAATGAGGACTGTGTCATCTCTGTGTCTTTCCCAGCTCTGCAATTCATTCATTCATTCAACAAATTTTTATTGAGCATGCACTGCATTCTAGGCACTGCTCTAGGTACTTGTGGAGGTAAAGACAAAACAGAATAAAATGAAACAAAATCAGAATAGGACATGGTTCCCGATCCCCAAATAAGCATTTGAACCCTATTTTAGGGGTGGGGGTAGGAGTAAGACAACAGTCGAAAGGCTTTGTTTTGAAGTCACCTTTACAAATAGGTACGTGAAATATACTTAAAGAAAATAACCATGCCCCTTACTAAGACAGTCAAAAGGGAGATCATCATTCTGTCCATTAGTGCTGTTACTATGTTCAGTAAATTAAAAAGCAGTTACAGAATTTTGGTCTCTGCCTAAGAGAAACACATGTTCTAAGGATTCAAGTAAGATAATTAAGATGAAGCAAAAAATGGTATGATGACCTAGTTGAGAGAGAAATACCCTGTATCTTGAATTTAGATCCTTTATTAGATCTTGGTTCTATCCCTTCCCTGTTATCATTATTTCCATGTTCATTCCCCAGATGGACAAGAGTATCATTCTAACATTCTCAAATTACCTTCTCATAAGAGGGAGTGAAGAACGTTCAGTCTGGCCGAGACTTCCTACTAGGTGCCCAAACCCCAACCTTTATTTAAGGTTGACATAAGCCTAGACCAAGACACCCACTAGTCACATACCATAATGTAAACTTTGCCAGTGACATGCTTAGTGCTTTAAGTCAGTCTGTAAGTTTTAGAATTCTAACATAGTTTCCTTTTCTCCGCTTATTACTGAGTGCTTGTATATTCCTAGACCTTCTCTTAATGAAAAAAAAAAAAAAAAACAGCTAACACATACCAGACATTTGCTTCATGCCAGGAACTTTGCAAAGTGCCTTACATACATTATGTGATTTTTAGTCTTCACCAAAATGCTACAAGATAGACACCGAAAGTAGATAAGAAATTAAGAAGTAGCTAAAAGTAGCATAATAGTAGTAACAGGGAACACACACAGTAAGGTAGCAATGTATATAGTTTTGAAATTATGTCACTTAAAAACATAACCTTTCACTTACTGTACAACATCTGAAATCATGGCAATCACTCCTATAGTGGATGGGCTGCTACACTGCCGAGATCCCCACTTCAGGACTTAATTCACCCGCTTGCTGGGAGTGAAATGAGCTGACAGACCTCACATCAGTGTCTCTCCGGAGATCACCTCATCTGAAGAGAGCTGCCCTACCGAAGACCATACGCCCTTCCCTCCAAGGACTGGTTACAACGGGGGAATGAAAGCCCCAACATTGGACGACCTAGAAGAGCCATCTCAGCTTCAGAGCATCCTGGAGGGTTGATTGGGGACTTCTTAAAACGGCATCCTTCCCTTCTTGTAAGTATTGGTTCCGACACCATTCCTTAACAAACCTCTCAAATGCTCATCTCCACCCAGAGTCTGCGTCCCAGGAACTAAACCCAACCCAACCCAACCCAACCCAAAATGTGTCAAGAATCCCATAATTTCAAAGCTTGGTCAGCCAAGTGATTATAAACTGTGTGAATGAATGAATGAACTAGCTACAAGGAAGCCCCTCTGTGGCCAGTAGATAGAAATGCCCTCCATCCTTTGCCTGGGTCAGTCTTAGATTATCTGAGGGCTTAAGGAACATATTCCTTGCATAAAACGTATTCACAGCGCTAAGTGCCTTACATGAGCAATCTCGTTTTATTCTTCTAACAACCCTATGAGGCAGATACTATTTTGTTCCCATTTTGAATGTGAAGAAACTGAGGATTAGAGTGGTTAATATCATGTCAAAGGTAAGTAAGTGGGGTGCAGAGCTGTAATATGAATCCATATCTTTCTGACCCTAGAACCTGTGTTCTAAAGCTGCCTTGCCATAGTATCTCACTGGCTAGTATATCTTGGTTTCCTCCACAGTTCCTTATGCATAGAAATAAATTAATGCTTTTTCCTTGATTTGTTGACTTGGCAGTACTTAAAACAGGCCTTTCCATGAGGGTGGTCAAGCATTTGAAAATGACCTTAAGCTGACTTGAACTGTGCACATAAACTCTACTCTGTTGCTCTGCCTTATAGGGATTTAACTGGCTACCTAATAAGGTGGGGAACCCCAATTCCTTATTTGTATCTGAGGCCACAGCCTAGGAACCAACACATAGTACACTAAGATGCATTTGCTGGTTGAATGAATGAATAAATTAATGAATAAGAAAAACTTCTTCATTTCAAAATTTTAACAGAGAGGGGAAGAATGCTCCTTTACATTTTACAGAGGATCGTTGTGTGTGCAGATTTGCCAATCAATGTTTTAGTAGACTGACCTTATGTGTCACCAGAAGAATAATTACTAAGCACACAGAAAACTGATGTTCAATTTTGAACTGAGACGAATAGTAAATGTCGATTAATACTGTACAGAATCATAGGTTTTAATCAATTCAACTCAATACATGCTGAGCTTACATATAAGATAACGTGAAGATCCAAACTTGATATCAAGGAGATTACATTGTAAAATTATGAGGATGCACACACACACAGATCTTTAATACAGATAACGTGATAAATGCTAGAAGGCAGACAAATAAAGGACTGTGGGAGGAGCCATGAGAAGGAGACTGATTTGGTAAGGGAGAGGAGATAAAGACTTCATTTTGTAGACTGACCGAAACACATTTCTGAACAGTTACTCCCCTACTCAAGAACTTTCAAGAGCTCCCTGTTGCCTACAAATACAGCGAAAACCCCTTGACATGGCCTTGAAGACCCTGGTTTGCTAGGCCACCATCCTCTAAGTGTAGGGTCATCGATTCATCCTGGTTTTCCCAGGACTTACCCATTTTAGTATTGAGAGTCCTGCTTCCCTGGAGAGCACCTCAGTCCCAGGCAAACCAGGACAGGTGGTCACCCTAACAACACATTTCAGTGTTTGATGAGGCCAAAGTGAGCCTCTCTCAGATGCCTGCAAACTTACCCTTTCTCACTTCCAAGTTTTTCTTCTTGCCTCATTTCCTTTCCCCAGCCTTGTATTCCAATCCACCTCATAATTCAAGAACCATATTCAGTATCTCCATCACTAAGTCTTGATGATGATATTACCTGTGTTGATACCACTACTACTAATAATAGCTAACCTTTATTAAAATTTCTGTAGCATTTTAAGTGGATCTTCATATTAATCTTCACCCTCGATCATGTAAGTTCTACAGTTATCCCTATTTTACAGAAGCATAAAGTGACGTTCAGAGAGAATATTGTAATTCATCCAAAGTGAGCTAGCTGACAAGTGGCAAGGTGGAGATTTAACTCAGATCTAACACAGCACTCCATGCTTCTCATCACAATGGTACACATCGTCTCCCTTCCTAGATTCTTCCTGTGTGAAATTAACACCACCTGTAAAATGAATGCTTCTTTGGCCACTTAACACTATAATACACGAAGAGCAATGTCCACTTGACTTGTTTCGGCTCCCATGCTAGGAGCTCCTTGATACCAGGAGCTAAGTCCAAGTCATTTCTTAATCCTCAAGAGCATGAAAGAGACATAAGAATATATGTTACATGAGAGACTAGATGTGTGGACAAGTGGAAGAGATTTTTAAACTGAGCCTTAAAAAAAGAGTAGGTGGGCTTTCCTGGTGACGCAGTGGTTGAGAGTCCGCCTGCCGATGCAGGGGACGCGGGTTCGTGCCCCGGTCCGGGAAGATCCCACGTGCCGTGGAGCGGCTGGGCCCGTGAGCCAAGGCCGCTGAGCCTGCGCGTCCGGAGCCTGTGCTCCGCAACGGGAGAGGCCACAGCAGTGAGAGGCCCGCGTACCGCAAAAAAAAAAAAAAGAAAGAGTAGGTTTTAGATGGAGAGGATATGCCAAGCAAAGTGAATACTAATACTAATTTTTATTACTAAGAATATCTGGTGAATTCTTAGTCTGCGTCACACCGTATGGCATCCCATGCTCATAAATAACCTATGGAGAGAAATGCTCTTACTATCCTTGTTTTTCCTGTGGGGAAATCGAGGCTCAAAGAAATGAAACCAGTTGCCCGAAGTTACATAGCTGGTAAACGGCAGAGGCAGATTTCAGACTCACCCTTATGTGACTCCCTAGCAAGAGCTGTGGATTCTGAAGAGAGGGGAGAAATTACAGGGCATGCCAGCAAAAGCGCCAAGTCAGCTGGTTTAGATGAATCACAGAGGACACGAAGAGAATGTTAATAACAATAAGGATGATAATGTTGGTGGGTCCTTGTTTTGTCAACCCCTCGCATTCCCTGTGGCATTGGATGGTGGGCACACCCAGAGTTCACGTTTATTGAGCACGTTATTGACAAAGCGCTTTTCACGGTCACCTCTCTCGTTTACTCCTCACAACAACCCTTTAAATAGGTACTGTTATTATCCTCATTTTTGAAACAAAGAAAATGAGGCTTAGAGGACTTGGGTGGCTACTGAAGCTTGATGCCTAGAAAAACAGCTTCCAGGTTTGTGACCACCGCCAAAAGCTGATCCCAACAATAGCATCCCAGCACACACCGCAGCCGCGCGCCTCCCCCACGTGCGCCTTCCAATCAAGCTTCTCAAAGTGGTTTCAGCTGAAGCCCATTCCAGCAGGCGGCGTTCCAGAGAGCAGGAAACGTCTCCACTCTTCCTCCGGAGATTCTGCATTTGTAAGTAATTCAGCGTTTTTTAGGGGGGAAGGGGACCCCAACTGCTCTCTGGGTGTGTTCCTCTTACTGAGGCGGCCCTGTGTGGTGACACGTGATGTGCTAGACGGAGGAAAAGGGCGGTCTGGCTAGGTCCCCTCACTGCTGGCTTAATCCCCACCAGCCGAATAAGATGCAATGAAAGTTGCCAAGAGTACTCTTTAGCTCACAGCAGTGTCCCGTTGGTGAAGAGGCCGCTGCTGGAACTCTGGTCAGCCGAAAGGCTTCTCTTTGAGACCAAAGAGAAGGTGAGGGTGAGGCCTCAGCTCGGATGAGAGCTGGCGGGAGAGCCTGGCCGCCTACCCGACTGTCTTCTGCCGTCTAGCGCTGCTCGCGATGAAAGGTCGCGCTTTTGTTTTGTGATGTTATTCTCTCTTCTGTGGGCTAGGAATCTAGTTATGTGTTGCAAGGTGTATTCTTTGTGGTACATGAAAGGCTAGTCATCTCCCGGTGCTTTTCACTTCTTTTGAAATTTGGCAACGTCTTGATCTTTCGGAAGATGAGTTTTGATACTCCACTGCGTGGAGAAATAAAAGTAAACCGAGGTGGGTTTCAGATATATTTGTATGAATATGAACTTCTTGGAATCAGTTTCAGTTTTTGAGTCAGCCCTTTGACGATACGATGCAGGTTCCTTTAGTAGAATCTCGCCTGTGGTCCCTGTCGTCTGGCTTCTCAGAAATCGGTCCTTTTTATACAATAAGTATTTGGTTTGACAAAAATGAAGTTGGAAAGCTCCAGAGCAATTTTTGAACTTTGGCCTTCAGCCTTAGAAACCGGGTTTAGTGAACATTCTGAGGAAAAAGATTATGCTCTGCACTTTAGAACTTCCTTGGGAGAAATAATGAGAATATAGCTGTTGTTCCTGTATACAGATACAGAAGAGCCCTTAACTTCCGGTTTTATTTTCCTGGAGTCTCCCCTAGCTTCTGAGTGTTGTGTGTGTTATGCAAGTTTCCGGAGGCTTGTTTCCTTGACATTTGAGCTTTGCAAAAGAAAAGGTTTATCTCTATATGATTACTGTTACTTATTCATATTTATTCAGGAACTATGCCTATAAAGTTACAAATGTGTTGGAATGTCAATAGCAAAAGCACTATATAAATCCTTATATTTGAATCCATTTTTTCAAAGTCGTTTTAAATTGGTTCAGTTAACTTACTATTACAATGAACTATTTTATGCACAAGCTTAAATTTATAGTAGCTTTAAAGATACCTTTGGAATTTTCACCTCACTTTCCTGTCTTGACTATAAACTCCTTGAAATATGCTAGTGCCTTTTCTGGTTACCCCACAGAGCACAATGGGTTTGAGAGTCTGGTTGAAACAGAAAATCCTAATGGGCTATTGATCTTCGAATGTTAACAAATGTCACTTTTTGCAAGTGGAAACAATTTTATTGAACAACTTTATTGAAACAGATGGTTATCTGTAGTCTGGGGGCGGGGAAGAAAAGCTTCCCAAATTATTAAAATTTGATGTTGAAGAAAATTTTAAAACCACATGCATATGTCTCCAGAAAGTTAATCTAAAAATGATATAGCCTTCATAGATTCTAGGAGGACCAACAGCAGTTGTAGTTTCAAGGATTCCGGCAGATTATGCTGAGTACTACATAAGTGACTATAGCTGGAAAGGATATTCAATCTGTGTTGGGGAAATGTCATCGTGTAATTATTTCTCTTCCTGTGGATATATTGTGATTTTTATTAGGTGCGTATTGTATTTATAA